CGATCTTGACCTTCTTCTTCGAGGTTCATGCCCTTGAGCAACTTGTGGGCCTCATCAAGCACATTCTTGATTGGGTCTGCAGTTCTTGTCGCTGTATCCGACACCGCCTCCGAAGTCACCGACTGCGAGGATGCCGCTTGAGGCGAAATTGAAGCCCCCGACTCACTTCGCGAGGTCCCATTTCCACCGCCACCGGTTTTGTCCAACAGCTTCTGGATCTTCGGTTTCTGGCCAGATGGAGGTCCCTCTCCCTTCTTTGCCGTCTCTTTCCTCGGACAGTCTCGAGCCAGGTGTTGTGTGGCCCCGCACGTGAAGCACCTCCTCTCCTGGTTCTGCTTGTCGCCAGTCTCCAGTTGATGTGCCCATTTGCACGACTGCCCTCTTCGACATCCAGACTCCGTGAGGAAATATCGACAAGGACCCTTCGAAGATGTCGTTGGCGAGTCCCCCTTCTTCTCTCGATCTTCCCCTTGAAGTGCCTTTACTGCCAATGGTCCACCTCCCTGATTTCCAGGCCTCGTAGTGCTCGAAGACGGTCGGACTCGGTGCATGAGTTGTTCAAGTTCAGCGAGTAAATGCTCAGCGTACGTCCGAACAGTCTCCTCATTGGGGATGGTATCAAGCTGCAAGGTGTTCTTGACCAAGGCACATCTGAATTGCAGATCCGGTTGTTGAGTGAGGATCCGCTTGCTAAGTTTGTTGATGCCCTTCATGAGGATGATCGCATCAGGGAGATTCAGGCCAATGTCGGTGGCCCTCCTGAGCCAGCGCATCCAGCGTCGGAGTCCCATGCAGGCTTCGCTTGGCGACCCTGCTTCTGGCGGATCTTCAAGTTGCCGCAGGATGATGGTGCGTTCATGAGCACCCCCTGGTTGATAGAGGACCATGAGTTTGTTCACCAGCCCCAGCGGTGACAAAGTCCTCGTTGCTACCAGTTCCTCCTTCACTGTCGTGGGAACTGAAGAAAGCAGCATGCTGATGGCCCTCTTTTCCACTCGGGCCCACTTCGGCTTTTGCAACTCAGCAGACGGCTCGATCTTGGATGATGCCCGCTGAATTGGGCGAAGCTTGATGTACTGCTTGTACCAGGCCCTTGCTTCGCTCACCACCAACTCCCACCACTCGCCTGACGAGTCGCTCAGGTCTGTCATTGCCGGTTCCACCATAGTGAGCCAGTCAGCGAGGTCGATGGGAGCCGTATCGGATGGCTCTGCCAGGATCGGGAGTGTAGCCGTGCCTGGCTTGACCGATTCCGGTCCCTCTTGCTTCTTGTCCTTGTCGACCAGGTAGGTGATCAGCATAGACATCGCATCGGCCATGCCACCACCGCGCTCCCTTGATTGTTCCTCACGAACATTTGCAGTTGACGATCGACCAGGCTGCTCGGCTGTGGTTTTCTTCTTTGGCTGGCCCACGCCTTTCCCGGTCCCTTGTCTCCCCTCCGGTTCGAAGCCCTTCGCCCGAGATGCCACCAAGCCCTCAGGTTGACCTCCTCCCTGACGTGCAGTTCTCGGACCCTGAGATCTCGACCTCTCTCGCTGTCCTTGCCCCCGACCACCTCGCTTTGCTGGCGCCGGAGTGACCGTCCCCATCAAGGATTGGAGTTGCTCGAACTGTTGCATGGGAGTCAACTCGTACAGCCGGCGTCTTTCCACCTCCAAATCTGTCTCTCTCGGAGGTTCGTCGACCGTCAATTCCAGCTGACGATTCACAGGCTCATCGCTTTCTGGCGTTCTGAAAGCCTGCTGCTCCAGCTCACGTTGTAGATCATGGACTTTGGCTTCCAGGCTTGGTGTCTGGTACTTCATGGCGTCCATGAGCTCTGCCTGCTGAATCTGCAGTTGTTGATTCTCCTGTTTCAACATCGCCAACATGGTCATCATCTCCTGTGGATTCGGCGGACCAGGGCCATAGGGATGCAGCTGAACTTGCCATCCTCCTTGATGCGGCATAGGTCCCCTCCTCTCTTCATGGGGCATGATGTACCCAGGTGGGCCAGTTTGTCCAAAGCCTCTCGGAACATGTAGACCTCTTCCTCCAGGCCCGTTCCCTTGGATCTGAACCACCGATTGCTCTCTAGGTTGGGGAGGTTGTCGCCCATCGCTGTCACTTTCAGGCTCTTGTACTTCAGGTACCCGTGGTTCTCTTGTTCGTCCACGTCGCTGGTCATCTGGTACATGGTCGCCCACCAGTGCCGGTGATGGTGTCCCCGTCGTCGTGCTCGTCTGTGGAAGCACTCCCACTGAACCTTCTTCTTTCGGCAGGAACGTGGGTCTCTCTTTCTGCACCTCCTCTGGCGACCTGTTCCCCAGACCAGGCTGCCAGATGCTCTGCCTCGGAACTTGAGCATATAGGTGAGGAGCTTGGCTCTGCACTTCATGAAGTCCCTTCAGCTGTTCCGGCGTGAAGAGTGGGGTCATCGGCGTCAAGGTTGTAGGCGGTCCCTTCGGGCCTTCCAGTGTCTCCTCTCCCCCAACATCTTCACCATCCTCCAGAGCAAGCTGCTCTTCCTCCAGCTGCCGATCATGTAGTGGGAGGCCTTCCGGATCGGCTTCTTCTCCTTCTCCATCATCGCCAGGTTGCCGTCTTCGTCGGCGAACCATCATGGCCATGGCTTCCGCTTGCGCAGGGCGGCCCAGCGATCGACCTCCTCAAGCTGGGGCTTACACCTTCAACCTTGGGCTCATAACCTGAAGGTTTCAGCCTGAAGACCTTTTTCAGGCTTGTGCAAAAGCGGCTTCCAACCGTCTCAGTTGGGTTTGTTTCAAGTGTCCGTTTTGGTACACCCTTCGTTTTGCGCGTGTCATCCTTTGCGGACGTGCAAAAACAATGCGTGTGGATGACGCGTTCTTTGTATTTTGTGCAGTGTCCACGGGGGCGCGCCTGGCAGGCAGAGCATATTAGCGCTGCAAGGCTGCGGGCCTTCGACACGTGAAACCAAACGTAGGTTCTCAGCGCTTGAGTGACCTTTATCCCGCTCCTCAGCACAACACTCCGTTTACGCGATCATGTTTCCCTTCCCTCAATGGCACGGACCCGCGCCTCGCTTTCCACCAAGGCCGCGCCAATCACCAATCCGCGGGGCATATCGACGTCGCAAAGGTAATTTTGCCGCACGGTGTGCCGCAGACTGTAGATCCAAGTCCAAACCTCGTGGACACCGGCAAGCATCCCGCTCCGCAGCGACACGCCGCGTTGACGCACACGCTTTTCGTTTCCCAACGGCGTAAATGCACGCAAATGCACTTCACACCAAGGCCGCGCCATTACGCAAAGTCGCAGCAGTGTTTCACGCAGACTGCCTCGTGGACACCGCCAATCATCCCGCTCCGCAGCGACGCGCGTAAACACGGCGCGGGCGCGTGGGTGCTTCTTGTTGCGGCACGCTCACCGATTCAGCCAGACGCGCTTCCACCAAGGCCAACCCACAGCTCCCCGAGCAATTTCCTGCATTACTTCCAATGTAATTATAGAGGCTGAGTGACTTCGAAGGACCCTACTGGTGCCATGACATAGTCTATATATAGGGTTCTTCAACCTCTGTTGGGTGGCCTCTCGCGCGAAATGCGTGTCATGCAAATGTAAAAAAACAAAAAAACACAATGAACAATTGCCGCAGCAACCCTCCCCACAAAGTGTATTATAATAATGGTCGTCGAAAATGAAGGTGGGAAATCCAAGTTGCCAAAGTGTGTAGTTTTCGCCTAAAACAACAGGTGGAGGTTGGCCAAGTTTGTAAGCAGTTGTCGAAAACAAAGGTGGAATGTGCCAAAGCGCGCAACCGTCGTTGAAACTGAAGGTGGATGTTGCCAAAGTGCGAAACAGTCCTCGAAAAGGAAGGTGGACGTTGCTTTCAAAGTGTGTAACTGTCGTCGATAACGAAGATGGATGTTGCCAACGTGTGTCACTGTCGCCCAATTGTGAAGTGGACGTTGCCAAAATGTATAACGCCGTCGAAAATCAAGGTGGACGCTTCCAAATGCGGTTGAACGCGAAGGTGGATGTTGCCAAAGTGTGTAACTGTCGCTCAACATGAAGGTGGACATTGCCAAAATATGCAAAAATGTACTCACAGCCGTCGATTATCAAGGTGGGTGCTCCCAAATGTGGTTGAAATCGAAACGCAGGCGCACCTTACACCAGAGAAACTCTACACCTAAAAGTTCTCGGGCCATCCGTCGTCTAGTTTGGAATCACCCAATGCTGAAACATGTGAACATCGCAACGACGAACAGCTGTAACCCACCACCCAAGCCCAACCCCCCACCAACTCCATCTTCCAATGCGTATGGCGTATGTGCATGGGTAGCACTTCAAAAAGACGATAAAAATAGGCAAAGCGAAAAAAAATAAATAAAAACATTACTGTAACAAACAGACGCGAAAAAAATTCATGGTCGCTAACAACGCGGTGAGCGCAGAGAAGGCCGTACAGGCCCCAGACTCCACGCCAGGCGCACCCGCCCATGAAGCAGCTGTCGCTTTTCAAAAGGGCCCAGGATGCCCAAGGGGGCCTAATGTTTGCATGCTTCACATGGACACCTTCAAACAATAGATTAGTTAGGCCCTACTTCTACAATGGAGATCCAGTGGCGCCGCCATCGCGCTCGTAATTTGAGAAAGTGGCCATCGAACAGTGCAAAACGTAGCCTTTGGGAGCTCCGGGCTCTTCGCTCTGCAGCGGGTCAAGCGAGCCCTATACAAATGTGTCAGGCAGGAGTGTCACCCGACCAAGTGTTGAGAAAAACTGTCCCACAAGAGCTCCTACTGTACAGACAGGGGTGTCCCAGAAGATTGTCAAGCAGAAGGGACGGGGAGGATGACCAGCGTTCGCTTGCCTTCATGTTTGCAACACTCAAGTGTAAACTTTTGGATGCTCCACAGAATTCTCTTGCCGTGTGCCGTGCAGAGATGCCCAACACTTCTCCAGGGCTGACATAGCTGCAAGTGTTCGCTTGACAATCATTATTTTCCAGTCATGAGGCAAATTTTCTTTGCAGGCCGTAGCTTATTTTGGCCGGACGAGCTTCAGTATGCTTTCTCCGGGCCCGATCAGATTTGGCCGCGAAGGCACGGCGATTCAATCTGTGCCTTTGTGCACCTTCCCTGCTTCCACTGCATTTGTTTGCATAATGTTTCTTTGACCCCATCCTCTGCGTGCACAGAGGTGGCCTCCGAAGGGTTCATACTTCCAGCCTCCAAGAATCTTGACAAAGTTTGGGCTTTCTATGTTTCCCCGTTTTTTCTTGAATATTTATGTCCAATTTGTTGTCTTAGTAAGTGTGTTCTTTTCAATTCAGGCACCGAAAGATCAACCAAGCCCCGGACAAATCGGCAGCACCAGACTTGATTGCAGTTTGAAGTGTCACTTGAAACTAAATGTGCTGAAAGAATACCCCGCAAGCTGTTCATAGCCTGAGGCCCGACGTTGCAAACTACCATTTTTGGCTGTACCGGGTATGGCAATATTTATCTTGCCACCCAAAGCTTTGGTTGGCTGATTATCCTGTCAGTTTTTTGGCAAAGTTCATCCAAGATTGTGCAAATCTAATCTACGGATTGTTCGCACATTACCCCACACCATTGCCAAGCCAAGGCTTTCATCCATATCGAAATAGATCACAGGGCAGGAGGTGCTGCCGCGGTTGTTGAGTGTCACACGTGTTGTTGGACAGTCTGGCCAATCAGAAGAAAGAGACCCGAACACTTTCCCTATGTAACAGACTGGTTGACTGGTATTTTGTCAGTTTGTGTCATCGTCATGTTCCAGCACTATACTGAACTATTCACCAAACCTACCTCTTGCTTGCTGGCGTTCTCTTGGCTCTAGCAAGAATTGGCAAGGCCCAGACTCTCCGCTCACCCCCTCACCTGGCTCAACTCCACTTGCGTGTGGTGGATCTCAAGCACCTCAACCATTCGGACAAGCTGACTTCTGTGTATTGTAACGCGCAACTTAACATTAAACCCGCATGGAATCCTTCACCAACGGGCAGACGCCAGCTGTAGAACCACAGCTTCATCAGCAGCGGAAGTGTCCGGCTCCAAACATACCATGTCACTATCGGACCTACCTTCGCGACCAGCCACCAGTCAATAAACACATGTGAACGCTCATTTCACTGGCTTCTCGAGTAGGAACCAACCAGCTGCCAGCTGTGAAAGAGCCACTTCACTGGCGGTGCAAAAGCGCCATTGTTGGCGACGAGCAATTCCATATGTTCGACAAGAAATAGTGTCTTCTTTCTACCAAAAAACAAATGTTCAATTCCAACAACGTCCAACAACCTCCTTCATGGAAATCCAACTGAAGTTGGCAAAGAGAGGCAGTGCATCCTTTTGTATCCCCTTAGAACATTGGATAATTTTGTGGAGCAACCACAGCTGTTTTAAGTTTCACTTGGACAGGCAGCGCAGACCATGTCAAACCGTTGGAAGATTCACACCATGGCACCTCCAAACTGTCTCCAGTGACCAAGGCTCCCTGTACATCTGCAAGCACATCTGAGGCTCACTCCAAACAACTGCCATGGATCTACCACCCGAGATCACTGCCTTGCGGCCAACGTGCTTGACCCTGTGCCACGCCTTCTCCGACGTCTAACCGCAGAGGTCACACTTGCAAGGCTTATTCTTCGTCTAGCCTGGCAGCTGCTGCAAGAAGCAAAGGTCGAAAGCAGCCACAGGTCCTCGTCCAGGACCACCTGCAGCACGTTAGACAAGACATTTGGGCAATGGGGACTGGACATATATTTGAACAAGGAAGGTGCCAGAAGTAAGCCAAAAGTTAAAGGAGCACTCGGGAACGGTTCCATTTTGCACAGCAGCCGCAGGCGTGTTGGCAAGCTGACACTGCCAAAGGCCGAAGCTGCAACAAGACCACACCTCTTTCAAAGGCTCTCCCTTGTTGACCTTTGCCCTCTCGATCACCTTCAGACCATTGCAAGATGATTTCAACAGAATTATGTAATATATATATATATTATAACGACTGTTGCCTGGGTCGCGGTGGCTCAGACCGACCTTCTGCTAAATAGACATGATGAGATCCCGCGTGAGGTTGCCATCCATACAGCCGAAAAATTAAGGAGCGCAACTCTGAACCTCCACAGACTAAGCGCATTTTTTGTAGCTAACAAACGATCAGTGCGCGCCTTCGAAGACATGACAACAGACTTGGCCTGCCTTGAAGCTTGTCAGCGCCTGGCTGTCAAAAGAATAAGTTTTGCCTTCCCGGAGCCCCCAAAGAGAAAACTCCGAATCAGCGACCAGTGATCCGAATCAGCGACCGTGTACCAGCGACCACTTTCCGCAAATCAGCACCAGCTAGACCACGAATCAGCGACCAGTTACCCCGCAATAGGGTTTAGCGTCTGTGTCTTGGGGTTGGGTTTCACTTCTCTAAGGTTTCTTTGGGCTGGTGTGAAGGCTTCGTTCACTTCTTTAGGATGAGGATGTTGGGTTTGGCTTCGGACTTCACCTTTTTAGGGTTTCTTTGGGTTTGGCTCGAGGCCTGACCTCTTGAGGGTTTCTTCGGGCTTGCCTTAGGGCTTCACTTCTTTAGGGTCTTTGGGTTTGGCTTAGGCCTTCACTTCTTGAGGGTGTTTGGACTTGGCTCAGGGCTTCACATCGCTACGATGTCTTTGGGTTTGGCTTCACCTTTTTTAGGGTTTCTTGGTGTGGATTTTTACGGGTTGTCTATTGGTTCTTATTTCCTTCAAACAGCTCAAAAGAAAAGAAAAGAAACATGTCCAGACGGCGCTGGCGTATTTTCTCTATGCTTTTTGCTTCCTGCTTGCCTTTCCTTCCCACGCGCGCTTTGTTTGCGCTTTCCTCGCGCTTTTTTTGCGGATTTCTAACTGGTCTTTTATTAGAATTAGAACTGATTTCACACACGAGAAAAACACAGACAACAGCTTGCAGAGCGCGCGCGCGCGCGCGCCATCTTGACGTATTTGCGCGATGTTTGTCACGCGTCTGTTTCCTTTGCTTATGATTTGCTTAGTGATTTGCTTATTCTACGGTTTTGTTATACGATTTTGTTTTCATGTGTTTTCATGTTTTCCTTGTGCGGACTTTTCCATTTTACGTACACGTTGGTAGGGCCTTAATTCTTAGTTCAGGAGATCGGTAAGAGGCAGAAGAAAGCAAGCGCGGAAGCGGATCGCATTCCAGGCCATTGCTTTGCGCTCTGTGTTTTTGATGGCCAACAGGGATGTGGACACATATTGCCCCCAGATAAAGGGTCTTTGCGCGTTGCAACATAAAAGTATCGATATATGCGGAAAGGTGTGGTTGAAAAGTGTTGCGCGCGCAGAAACTCAGAAGCTATTTTGACAATTGTAATTGTAGCCTGGATGTCGCTGGATCACTTCAGGTTCGCGCAACTGACGAGAACCCTTGTAGCCGGAGCAGTCTTGTTGGCTGACACTTTTCGCTTGTAGCTTCGGTCAGTGTGGCTGTTCTGAGAGAATGTCCACGCTGACAATTATGACATCAACCCACTTCAGTTTGTAGTCGGGATTGCGCGTGTGTCTTTTGTCGAAACACAGCATTCGCTTTTAGTCGAGCCTGATGTTTTTTCTTGTCAGTTTCTTTTTTGGCCGACCTGGTCGAGTATACAGCATGGCCTGCCTCACCTGCCTGGAAGCAGAAGTTTTTCGCTCGAGATGAAGACATACCACTTCACAAGAGGCAAGAACCCATCTCGGCACGACAACCAACAAGCGCACTTTCACTAATGGTCAGAAACCATTTGGTAAAAGCTGGTGCAGGAATCGCAATGAATCGCATACCAATTATTTTTTCCAGATAGCAACAGCTATGGGGTTCTTACTTCAAATAACAGGAGTTGCCCGTGCGCGCTTTCGAGACAGGTTGCTGGTGCTGGGTGCTGGTGCTGGTGCTGGGTGCCGGGTGCCTGTGCTGGTGCTGTGAGCTGGCTGTGCACGTGGTGGAGACAGGTTGCT